CACAAGAGATTAAATAGACTAGGACACTCTGTCTGGAAAAGATAGATTTATATAAGTAAGTAGAAATATGAATGGCATACAGAAAGCAAATGGGGACCAGTTATCTCTCTCCTTTGCGTCAGAAGGACTCAGAAGCATTGCACAAAAATTCTCAAGCAGATTCTTTAAAAGAAAAAAAATAACTATTCCATGCAGCGTATCTGTGAAACTTATTTTCACAAGATTTTGCAGATGACAGGGAATAATCCGAAATTGATTAGATAAATTAATGAGAGAAATATCCATTAAGCGCTATCAGTCACAGAGCTGTGAGCACAACTTCCTGCTCAAGAGGTCCCAAAACCAAAGCCTGCTGGAAGCAGAAAGGATCTTCTAAAGGGTTATCGCATGTCCAGCCCTTGCATTATTTGCCTAAATACTTGCTGTTTGTTTTGATGAAGACCCTTTTTTTCTTAGCACTCTGTCACAAGTTCTCGGGGATTTGAGGCAAGCAGCTAAAGAAGAAACAGTTCTAAGGATAATGTATAAGGACCATAAGAATTTAAATTCATTTTTTCTAGATCTTTAGTGTGACAGGTGCTAGGGGACAGGTGCTCTTTGTTCTGTCACAGTGATTTACCTTGTTTTTTTTAAATATCAGAATACACAAAGTGCTGTGGCTTTTTTCTTTGACTTCAGATTTAGATACTTGTTAGTTGGTTCCACAGCTTGAGGGAAGAAGTGAGAAACAAGCTGTAAACTGGAAAGTAATGTAACAAATTACAAGATTAGTAACTGGTAAGGTTAGGAAAAAGTAGGAACTAGTTCACAAGAATACACCTTCACATAGATTTAATTTGACATTCCCTGTGAGTATATTCAATATTTGTGAGTAAACACTTCATATGTAGATAAATACAGACACACACAGATTTCAGATTCTTCTTTTCTGTCCTGTATCAAGAACCATCTTCGTCCAAGACATACATACCTTATGCTGTAATGCATAGCAAGATTAGAAAAGGAAGGGAAGTATCTCACTGTGAGAGGACCTAGCACAGGAACTTATCCAGAGCCCTCTGAGCATGTGAGACTTCCTAATAAAACTCATTTACTCCCCATCCCTGATGTGAGGATTCCCCATTTCCACACTCTCATTCCCATTACTTACTCACCCACCTCCGCCTGGAAGGAAGGACACTGCACGTGCAAATCCATACACTTGTGGCCTGGGGTTGTCCATCACAACCCCTGTGCTTACCACAACTCACATTCTGCACAAGAAGCTGTTCAGAAATGAAAGAAGGCTTTCTGCAAGAAAGGCGAAAGGCTTCCCACCAAAACCTTGAAGGAAAAAGAGAAAGATTTTAGACAGTAGTCTGCGTGAGAGGGTTAATTGTTTTACTACAGTTGTGTGTTTTGGTTTTGGCTTTTCTTTTTGTGCCTTCTTCAAGTTTGCATGTGCGAGAGATTCCTATAGTTTCTGTTGTTTCTCCTAGAAGCAAGCTGGACATTGGATGCCCAGAGAGCACAGGCCTGTATCTTGTGGAACCAGAAGCAATGGTGACTCCCAGCCCTAGAAGAAGTAGCATTCGGTAGCTAGACCCCTTTTGTGCCCATGCAAGAAGCAGGGCTGGCCTAGGATGTTATAATGAAGCAGATGGAGCATCTTTCCTCTGGTCTATGACTGTTGTAGGAGATGTGTTACAGGAGACGCTAAAGCAGAAATCCAGTGTCTTCAGGTGTCTTAGCATGGCTCTGGTCTAGAGAAAATACTCTGATTTTCATAATGCTAGCACAGAACAGGTTGGTTATGGGAATATCTTAGCAATACCATCTCTTGCAAGAAAAAAGTGTCTACTGAAGCAAGCAAAAATTAGGGCAAGCTTAGAAGGACTTTAATGTGAACTGGAGACAGAGCTATTTACTCATGATTTACCCTTAAATGCATTATCATGGAGTGAAGAATTCCGTATTCAGCTTAACTAGATGAAATTCTAGTGCAGGTAGATTACATCTTATACAACTTCTCCTTTTTTTTTTTTTTAATTAACCTTTTTTTAAAATACTCTTCTTGCTCCTACTAAGCTACTTAAAATGCAAGTGTAATTTCACTACCATTTTTGTGTTTATACTCACCTGCCACAGGTTTAGGTTCAAGATAATTTCTCATTAAAAACTTTTAAATAGTGGCACACAAGTTAGAGACAGTGACATGTTCTGTCACCAAATAGCAGCAATAGCAATTGGTTTTGGATAGCGTGGAGGTCTGGAATAGGAGTAATACAACGTGAGATTCTTTTCACTGACTGATAACCAAACTAGAAATGACTGGCACTGCAAGCAAAAACAATACTATAAGCTCTGGGGATATGTTGCAATGACAACCTAGCAGCTAACTTTCTCATGACTATACTGAGGCAATTTTGTGCTTACAATATGCTCAATTGCCTCAACCTAAGAGAAAACACATTTTTTTCTAAACTGTAGTAGAACCAAAAGCAGGCTAAACATTGCTGTGGTTAAGCAGAAGAAAGAAATACATGAAAACGGGTGACGGCCTCAAAGAGACATTTATTTTATATGTATTCCTTTAGTGTAAGTAGTTTTTTTGCCAGAACTGTTTTAGCCTTTTCTTGAAAACACTTTTCATTTTCCCCTTAAATCAGCTAAGCTCCCACCTCATAACCAGGATAGGTAAGTCTTATAACCAGGAAATGATACTGACACCTAGAGGAACCCAGATATAAAAATAAACACATTTAAGAGTTTTTCAACTTTCTTTCAGAGTGTGTTTTTCAGTAAGGCATCTGCTTAAGTTGAGTAGTGAAAGCCTAGAATGCAATAAGCTCTTCTGTGAATGATTTACAGTGTAGTGAACACATTACAATGAATAACAAACAATAATAGGTTTTCCAGCAATCAGTTTAACAGAATCTCCCCGTGTCTGTATTTATACATCAAATATACTTCCAACACATAAAAAAGTAATGTACAATTCAATAAAATATACAAAGCTGTTACAGTTTTGGCTTCCTATTTATTGGTTTACAGTTATGTACAAGAGTATCTTATTTGCAATACCAAGTGAAAACTTAATGATTTATTTACAACATGAACTGGTGCCTTTCACTATGCAATTGAATTGTCCCAGGTTTTGCTATATTTTTACATTCATAGGGTCCACTCAATGGTCTGTGCCCCTTAGGCCCCATTTATGGGTAGAGTTAAGTAGTGGACTGAAGCAAGGCAGATGACAGACATATCTCTGAAATCCCATTACTGGGTACAACCAAAGGAAGAATATAGCATCTACTGCTATTGCTACAACCATTGTATCGACAGCCAAATAACAAGGTCTCTCCACTGAGAACAACATTCCCACCCTTGTCAAAGGGAGACGTGAAAGTTGGAAGCAGTACATGCTTCAAGCTACAGCAGAAAAACAACTGAAAAGTTCTGAAAAGGTGCCTGACTTATCCTGATTTATCCTGCCAGGGACCTCAATGCAAACAAAGAGACAGAATACAGTACCTTTCTAGGTATGTGGAGGACAATGTTTTAAGGTTATTCTTACACAAAAGATTAAATTACGAGGAAAAATAAAGAAGAAGTATTTTTATCATAATACAGAAGTTCATTCAGAGAATCACAGAATAATTTGAGTTACAAGGGACCTGTGAAGACTGTCTAGTACAACTGGCCGTTCAAAGCAGGGCCATCTTCTAATTGAGACCCCACTTCAAACTCAGAAGTGCTGAGGGATATGCCCAGTCAAGTTTTGAATACATCCAAGGATGGAGACTGCGCAACCCCTGGGAACCTGTTCCCATGTTTGAACACCCTTAGGATAAAAAAAAAGTCTCCTACACTTGATCAGAATTTCTTCTACCAGAGGATAATCCAAGCTATTCAGCTGAGCTACTTGTACTCTTTCTATTGCTAACAGTTTTAGACTATCCCCTAAACCGAATGTAATGAGGGCTATTCTTTGAGCTTTTGAAATATGTAATTTTTTTTTTTCAAGTTATTTTCTGATATCTAGCTAGCAGGGTACTGCTTCTTAAAATATTTGCCTAGATTATATCTCAGTGGTATCTCAGATATATACCATTCCTCAGCATCAGGCAACAAATGCTACAGATGTACTTCCCTCATCTGTGGCAAATTCAATAATTCTGCACATTGCACAGCAGTTACAGAACAGCATGCTTATGACTAGATGCAAATTAATCACACAGAATGCATGGTGATTTCCAGGTCTTATGAACCATGTAGGTTTTACTTCCACAGCCCTCATGAATGAGGAAAACAGAAAAACTAGAATCAGCTCAGTCTTGATGTTCAGGCACTACCAGCTGAAAATCAGGCTAGGTTATATCTTTCCACAGATCTGGTGATAAGAAATAAGAAGGCATTGTTAGATATGACAAAAATACTGTATCCTGATCAGTAAATCCATCTTATCTTACACAGTGCTTATTTTATGACAGTGAAAGTCATGACTGCAATACACAACTGCTGGTATGTGCATATGTTCTTGGTCACAACAGTGTTGACTGAGGTATGTGAACCCTGATAATTGGAGCTACTTCTCTGATTTAATATATTAGGAAGAAAACAAAATATTCTGGAGATCAATATCTGCCCTGCTGTATCTTGACAGACAAAAAATATCAGGATAAATGCATACTGAGGCCAATGGACTCACTTGCATCTGGCAGAAGGGAAAATGTGACTTTCCCTGTACATGATTCTTAAAAGATACAGAGTCTTCAGTAAGCATATGAGATTCAAATTTTTTTCCCCCCTTAATACAGATGCAGTCAGTAGCTCTTACCACCAGCATGAGGAAGGGGCATGGAGTGCAAGAAAGGTTTTACTTTGAAAAAAAAAAAAGGGGGGGGTTGATTGCCACAGAAATAATGAAAAATGAACAAAGATGATAGGCTTTTCAGTAGTATTGCGAGCAGCAGTAAAGTGTTGCATTTCAATTCTCTCCACTGATAAACCTATTCAGCTTGGCTTTCCTAAGCCTTTGTTCTATAATCCGCAGACCATCCTCAGGCTATAGCAACAAATTATCTCCTTGAAGGTCTTCCTCATTTCCTGGCTACGAAAGGCATAGATCAGGGGATCAATCACTGAATTGCACATAATGAGAATGAGGTACATGTTGAAGTGAGACATGAAGCAAACACAGTAGAGGTTTTGAGGGCAGGAGATCATGAGGATGAGATGAAGAAAGAATGGAGCCCAGCAAAAAATGAAGATGCCAAGTAACATAGTCAGAGTGATGGCTCCCTTCAGACTAGTTCTTTGATGGACAGAGTTGTATCCAGGCAAAGCTGCTATTTTCTTCACATGAGTACGAGCCAGGAGGAACATATGGATATATAGCGAGACCATGAGGAACAACATGGTAAAAAACATAGTGATGAGGCAGATGATAACATAAGTTGATTCATAATAAATAATGAAGACAATGCCACAGCCCGTGCAAAAGGTCCAGATGCATGCAATGATGAGTCCCGATCTTTTCACTGTCATGATGCTGTGATAACGCAAGGCATAGAAGATAGTGATATACCTGTCTACTGCTATAGCCACCAAACTGCACATGGAAGCCACCACAGAGATGCAGATCATTGAATCAAAGACATTGTCTATATGACGGATGAAGGCGTCTTCCATGATTATGTGCCTATTATTTATTAAGTATATTGTTATGGTCTCCCAAGCATTAGACACACTGACCAGCATGTCAGCTACTGCTAAACTGCAAACAAAGAAATACATGGGCAAATGCAAGTTCTTGTTCTTAACTATTGCACATATAACTAGGATGTTTTCAAGAAGGCTTATAATGCCCAGAGTTAGGAACACTTCAGCTGCAATGACCACTTGTTCACATGGTGATAACTTGCTCTTGACAGTAGGCACAGTAAAGTTGCTGCCAAAGGCACTCAGGTTTTGTTCAGAAAAGTTCAGTGGAGAGGACGTGTTCATCTCTGGAAGCAAATACGTTCTGTTCTTTCTGAGGGACTTGCCAAGAAGTGCAATAAATGCATTTTCCAACAGGCAAAAGAACCTGCCAAAAAAATATAGTATGACGAGCACAGGCAGAAGTTGACAAAAAAAAAATAGCAGCTATTTAATTTGGCATGTACACATCCTGACTCTACCACACCATATTCCTGTACTGATTCTAAATTGACCTCTCATTGCCTCAGAGTTTCACTACTTATTTCTTTATTGGGGAATTAAAATCACAAACTAATGAAGAGATTCATACACTCTTCATTCATACTTGAATTTGTTCTATTTGTTCTATTTGATCTCCCAAAAGTGAGCACAGTGTTCTGGAAATTTTGCAGAACACAGAAAAGCAAACAGTTTTGAGAGTCTCAGAGTCCAGAAATGCAGGATAATACAATATCAGGTCAGACTGAATCTGTTCACTTGATTGCAATATATGTAAGTTTGAATTAAGAAATGAGCATTTTCAGTAAAAGATTTAAATGCTTTCCTGATCTCCATACTTCTAAAGTTTGCATGAATTGCATTATAAACTGTGTATCTTTGCTACAATAACATGCTCAGTTAAGAGCATTATTTTAAATCACTAACCAAGACAAATCCATGCATTCCAGGATACACTAAGAGACAGAGTTGGTATGGAAGGATTTCTACCATGAAAATAAGTTTTCTATTCCAGCTTGGGAGTATTTTATTCAATGTTTCTTTCAGCAATGAGAATATTCAGGACAAGTCATAAGCCATCACATTCTTAATATGGAGACCAGTTCTTGCTGGTTGTCAGTGACTCAGTGCAAACAAAGCGCAAACCTTTCAAGCTAGATCATTTTCAGTTTTTAAAAGTAACCTTTCATTTACAATCAAGAAATAACTGTACCTCAATGGGTAGGAGCTGCTCCTTCAGTTGCTCTTCCTCTTCATCGCTTGTAACCCTTCCACCGGAGAGCAGAACTTTCATCTCCCGTCCTCATCCAACATCTGGGGCGGGGGACTCCTTGGTGGAGACTGATGACATTATAGAGAAAAAGGAATGAGCAAATCCATAGAATCAAGGCTGACCACGTATAAATTACTTACTGTGCAACTGCCTTTTTATAGCTCGGAGACATAATGACTTCAGTACTCAAACTGTGGCTCCTCCTCTCCTTTGCCCCTCTAAACTCTTTTCGCAGACTCTGTTAGCAAAGCCTTGGGTTTTTACCACCATCTAGTGGTCTTTTGTTGTCTTTTTTTTTTTTTTTTAACTGAACACCGAGGCTGATCTAAAATTCATGATGAAGTCTTTTAAAATTCTTGCTTTTTAGTATATTCTTAGGAGAAAATGATATAAAAAGGTAAAATGCAGTAGGCATGTTCTTTTCCAAAAAATTTTTACATATTTGACTTGCTATTCTAGTCCTGACTGACAATAAGATCGTATGGCTGCAGTATTCTGAATGAGGTAAATCCAGAATATCTTTATTAAAGCAGTAGGCTTATTATTGTTCTAACCATTTGTCTTACATTCTCAGTTACAATTTTGGAGGAATAAGACCCATGTTACCACCAAACGCAAAGAGCGCAAAAAGAGCACAAATTCAAGCTCTCCTGCTGCCAACAGAAACTGAAAGCCAAGTAATATGCGTGGAAAAATAATAAGCAACTGCAGCATTGAAATGATCGTGGGCTGGGTTATACTTTGAGAACTCTGAATCTGGACCATGTGGAGCCCTCCTGAGGTCCACAAACCAGATATAGCCAAAGGAATGTGTTTCATCTTCCAGATGAAGTGCTTGATTTCTTTACTGCATCTAGCATCTTATCTGGCAAAACAAAAATGTTAATTGCTTAAGGTCCCTATCCTACTGTACCAAACAAGAGCTTGCGACTGGCTCCAGTGGAAATAATCAAAAGATGCTACCAAAAGGACCTAGGTGAAAATAAAGAAGGAGAGTACAAAACCAAAGAGGAAAGAAGTCAGTGCCTGTTTTGGTCATAGACCATTCCCTTCCGTTATGAAGTGGTAAGACAGAAAGTCTCTTCAGCCATATATCTGCCTGACATATCACACCTGATATCAGCAACTGGAGCAGGAGCAGTGGCAGATTCACTGAAAGATTTTCCAACCATTGCCCACCTTTGAACTACAAGGGACCACTCCAAAATACCCCTTCATTCAACACATCAGCTAAGGCAAGAGATGCTGTGACCATCCTAAGCTGTAGGACAAGTCACACTTCCTCAAAACTGAGAAGTCTAAAATCTTAAAATGCGGACTCTAAGAAAACAAGTCTTCACACCACCTTCTCTTTAAAATAGAATCTTTCTCCAGATCACTCAGCTGCGGTCTCATTAAATTCACATATAATACTCCAAATTTGAAATAACCTTTTCTCACAGAGCTTGAATTTGTTTTTGCAAAGGATAAAAGAGGAATTACTTTCATCAAAGACTGATAGTGGTTTTACCAATGAATGCTGAAATGATGCCTGCAATCCAATGGGCCTCTGAAGAACATTCTGTAGGAAGAGCTTATTACACTCTGATGAATTTGGGTATTAATCTGTGCTAATCCTAATGCGTTCAGAATGCAGTTTATTGAAGTCAACAAAAATCTACACAACTTGTCTAGCGGTAATGCATTGAATCAATTTAATTCCAGTGTCCTTCTGTAGCTGTTTTTGTCTGTTCAATGAAAATACATTTATCCTTCATAACTTAGTTTTGGATTGATGCTCTTGGCCTGTTTACAAACTCTCCCTCTCTATTTTGTTTTTCTGCACTGTCATTAGCACAGTGTTTCAAAACCGCAGAGTGTCATTTCAAACTGCATTCTGCTTTTATAGAGATAACCTGTGGACCTAGGGCAAAAGTGAAGATCATGGCCTGCTCTGCATTCTAACATATGTTCTCTGACTTCCTCAAACACAGACAACTATTTCTCTTGATCTCTGCTCTTAGCAGCTTTTGCTAGGCCCATTAATGCCTCCAATCTTACCTCTACAACATTACCAAAAGAAGCAGTTCACTTTTAATAAGGGCAGAAGAAAAACAAACAAACAAAAAACAAAGCAAAACAAAACAAAAAACCACTTTGCTGTTTTTAAAAAAGATGGATGAGGTGATCATACACTCAGTAGAGGAAAAGGTTGTCATACAGGGTAAAAGACATTTTAGAAAGATATATCCTAGTAACCTAAGCTGGACAATGCCCTACCTAAATCCTAAACTGTAAAAAGGTATCAAGAGGTTTATTAATCATTGTTCTTATGCCTTGTCTAATGGGAGAGAGTTCCAATAGTGGCTGATTCCTTAATATTTTTGAGGGGATTGGTCAGCAGTACCTAGTAGATCATACAGAGGTATTAGCTATAGCCTCAAAAAAGCACAGATGGCCAGTGCTGGCCTATACAAACTAATGAGCCTGACAAAAAGGAGGTGGTGTTCACTATTAGATTGAAAAAGAACACTTAACAGGTTTTTATTGGCTATTACTTTATATAAAAGAAATGAAACTATTTCTTGCAACAATAGAGTATTTTTGTAATGATATAGTATTTTGCTTGGCTAAGGAGAAGCCAGTACAACTTTCTGCAGCTCTATAGTTACATATACAATATATATGTGTATATAAAGTCATTAAAATGCTACTTTAATTACATATTATGAACCTCCATGTCTCATTTCTGTAACCTTTCTTGGAGTATGGCAAATGTAAAGGCAAATATTAAGAGCGAATATACATTGTTCATTTGTTTCATGAAATGTTTGTGCATGATTTTTGGTCTTTTTGGCTTATGCATAAAATGCAGCTAATCTGTTGTATAATTCAGCTCTTCAGTGAGACTTTGGTGTTTGAACATTCTGGCCCTGTTAGAGTGCTCTCAGGCAGTTCAGTAAATATTGGTGTATGATAGTCTACATTCCTGATATATAATGTCCTACCTTTATATTCAAAATTGCAGCTTCACCATACCTTTCCTTGAATGTCATCAAAGTTGTAAGGTCCCAGGTTTCGAGTTTGCATCTTCCTTTTATGAAACAAATGTGAATAAATTCATGCATAAACAGACATTGCACAGAGTGTCTTAGCACATCATTACATTTACATAATGGATTAAAAACCAAGTGTTACTACTGACTACTAAAAACAGCAAACCTCTTAAATTCAACGCCCTTTCCTCCATCTCTGTCAGTTTCCTGCATTGATTTTGAAATGCCACCTATCTTAAAAAAAAAAATCTGATTGCTGTTTCTTGGGGGTTTATTCTGTTTTTTGTTTGTTTGTTTTAATAAACTTTTGATCTAAAGAGATTGCCAGCTGCTCTCCCCAGCCCTTCCCTCTTCCCTCACATCAGATGAGCATGGGACTGAAGCATGGATCCTCCCTTGGGTCTGCAACTCTCCCTGCCCCCGAACAGCTCAGTGTCCCTTCATCCTGCGCTGAGTGTTCAGCCTGGGGTACATTAGCCCAACATGGGTGCAGAAAGATGACACGGATGTTGAAGGACAACTTAGAGGAGATACAAACTGTGTGAATAAGCACAAAATCATGTACCCATGAAGAGTCATCATTACACAAGCAAAATTGCAGGTATAGCAGCGTTCATGTGCAGATCCTACTCAAAAAAGGACAAATCTCTATGACTGTACAAATGCTGGCCAGATGTAAATGCACCTCCTACCCAGGCAATTTCCTAGAATGCCACGAGTGCAACATCAGCACTTCTCTTTCTAAGTGATCTTCAGTGACATTGCTAAGTTCACTCCACTGATAGACAAGAGCTTTGCTGACTCTCTATATAGATATACAAGCTTACACTCATGCAGTTACTTCTTATTTAATGAGGTTTGTAAAGACACCAGGAAAGAGAATTAAACCTTAACCATTTAGCTCAGAAATGAGTTTTTTGTTTGTTGTTTGTTTTTGTCAAGTCCTTACTACTACTCTTTCTGAGCTTTTCTACTACACAGACCTGCAACATACAATATCCTTTTCTAAAGTCATGAAGGATCATTTTTAAAAACAATGTATCTTGAAAGAAAAATGAAGGAAACAAAGTTATTTCAGGAGTAGAA